AGTGAGAAAACTTCTGCTGCACACACATTTCTCTTCCAGTGATGGTATGTGGACATACAGAGTCAGAGTTTCATATTGCTCACAGCAGTTATGGACTAGCAAGCAATATGCATGTGATAGTTTTCAGCCTTCCTTTTGCGATTGTGAAAGCTGTTGTCCTGGCCCTTATCTGTGGGAGACACAGCTGAAAAGCTTTCCATTTAGATTCAGGCTACAAAAGGGGCAGAATGTGGTGGTACATGGCACTGAGGAGGAAAGGGCACGGCGCAGGTGTGCCAAGAACATGAAAATAATGTGAACATTAAAATAATGTGAGAACATGAAAATAATGTGAACCAGGTACAGCTGTCTGCGACATAGCAAGGAGGGAAGCACAACTGGGGCAGCATGCATGCTATTCATGAAATGCCTGGTATAAAACAGAAAATTGTAGCGATAATTTCAAAAAACACATAAGTCACAAGAAGTAAAAAAATTAGAAAGCATCTTGATATTATGCTGTGGTTGTGCCCTAAAATACTTTCTTTTACAGAATATCTTCCTAGGTATAAAATATTTTAAAGAATCAGCCAAGGTCTTCTCATTTAAGTTTTTATTGATTATATAACAATATATTGAAAAATCATCCACACATTGGCACCTACTAAATAGGTGCTGAGGGAGAAATCCAGCAAATCCACCAGCAGAGATTATGTGTGAGGGAGAGACAATGTCCGAGCTGAGTCTGGAGATCTGAGTTCTGCACGGACCTCCAGGAGCTGGATTTGATGAAACTTGGGGTCCCTTCCTACTAAGAATGTTTCCAGGACCCTCTAAGATTCTCCAACACTTGCAGCTAACTCCAGAGCCAGGCTGTGCAGATAAACCTAGGGCAGGACTGGCATACAGACATCCAGATGTGAGGCTGCTGTGCCACACTCCTCCCCTTTCTTACCATAGACACACTCTGAATTACATTTTCCTGTGCTAATGGAATTAGATTTTAGTTATCCCATGCTTGCATCAGCTGTATATAAATGAAAAAGACCTTAATATGTTTGTTAATGAAAAAGTTACAGTAGTATATTAAAGAAGAGTTTATTTAACTTTATTTAATTTAAAGGTCACTTACTTAGTGGACTAAGCCTTAATGATCTACAGTAAATGTATTTTTTTTAAAGATTTCTCCATTATTGGGTGTTCTTAGACAAGACTCCACATTTCATATATAGGATTTAGATAAATTACTGCTCTGGGTAACACATTGTGATAAGGAGACATTAATTCATGTTAAATTACAAAGACATCCCTTCAGAGGAATTATTCTATCCCTATGAATATAAAAGACAACCTCTCTATCTGGACATTTCCTGGGAAGTGAGACATTCTATGCATTATACCAAACTGCAGATATATTCACTATGATAACACATAATAATGATAATCACAACGACTCCATTTGTCAGTTCCACCTTAATTAAGCATTGCTGCCATAATGGACAATTTAAAGAGTTATAAGAGGCTGTTTACAAGGGGGTTAATGGAGTTAGGAGTCGGAATTAAATGGTCTTCTATCAGGTGTGGCTTTCCTGGTGCTGTGAGGTGGCAGAGGCTCAATGGGAACATGGGATGGAAGGCATGATTGGAGCATCACCCTCATGATCCAAATGTGTGACCTGCTGCCTGGGATGGAGGGCCCTGGTTTTGGCTGAAGTAATTTTCTTCCCAGTACCTGGTGCAGTGTTGTGTTTTGGATTCAGGATGAGAATAAAGTTGATAACACACGCTTGGTTTGGTTGATGCTAAGTAGTGCTTATCTTAAATAAAGGACTTTTCTTTTGCCCACAAATTGTTCAATTTCCCAACAGAGATGAGGTGAGAAAGCAGCTGGGAGAAAGCATGGCCAGGGCAGCTGTCCCAAACTGCTCAAAGGGATATTCTACACCACAGAATGTCATGTCCAGCATATAAATTAGGGGAGCTAGCCAGGAACCAGGTTTCCACAGGGCTCTTGCATGTTTTAGCACCACCGTGTCTTTTTGCACATGCAGAGGAGATTGCACAGCATAATGCACAAATTTATACCTTTTGGAAGTTCTCTGTGGGATTCATTCCTATCCTGTTGATATTTCTCAAAAACATGTCCCATTGCTAATTCCTAGCCTTTACTTGTATTGTACGTTGCTGCAGACTGCCAGATTCTCCCTATTTTGCTGTTGGTGGGTCAGTTTTCCATGTGTATGGTAACAAACATTGGCTCTGCAGTTTTGGCTACATTTTCAATGCTTACTGCATTGAAGCAAGGGCAAGTAATTCAGTTTCAGGTGGGCCCAAAGCCTCTTGTCCAGCAGGGCTTTGGAGGGTGAATAATTGAGAGTTAGTACAAGTTTGTAGGCAGAAAGAATCCATCTAGCTGAGTGGCAGCTTGTCAGTTCACTGTTCAGGTATGATCAGCAGCCCCACTGCTTTGGAAACACTGCTGTAGAAAGACACTTCCTAGAGGCTTCAAGAAAGTGCATGTACGTATAAGGAATTTTCTTCCTAGGGCATTTCAAATTTTTGGGGGTTTTTTAAAGGAAGAAAAATAGGTCATGAAATCCTAGGACAGAAGCCATAAGTTGTCACCAGCTGTCTGTGACATTATTTCCAGATGTTCCTGCTCTTAGCCATCCTGGCCCACCGCAGGAATCCGGGCAAAGGAGCTGTCACTTTGATCTCTGTGTACCAGCTCCTGTGTACCCACCACCTCTGCTCCTGTCGCTCCTGGCTGGACTGCATCTTGCCCTTGTCTGCAAAATCTGTTACAATGCAGAGACGTTCCTTTGCTTAACCAAGGGTCTGCATTTCCTATTCATTAAAAGTATAGATGACAATTCCCGGGCATCTTGAACAATGGCCATTTGTATGAAGGTTTGATCTAAAACCATATTTGCATCCTTGAAGGGCATTCTCGCTGAAGAAAGCAGTATGGGGCCTAACACCTGAAGAGACAGGAGGATTCCATGCCTCTCAGTGCAATTTTGTCAGGTCTAATCCCACTGTTCTGCTACCAGCAGGCTGCCACGGCATTTCACATCCAGACGTGGAGGGGCTTAATGAGGAACGGGCACTGCCTGCCTGCTGCAGGACAGATGACTCGTTTCTCTTTTAACCTAGCAAGGCTGAAAGACAGCGGAAGTACAAAAAGTATAAAGAACAGAGCAAGAAATGGCAATCCCTGCCATTGCACAGGACAGCCACGACATGGCTCCCAGTGTTCTCCTCTAAAGTCCCTTTGCTGCTAAGCCATGAATCTCTACTGAAAGCCGACCAGGCACTGGCACAGGCTCTGCAAAGAAAAATCAGTTTGGTTCATCTACTCACTGCCATCCTCAAAAAGTGCTGCAGGATGCATTAAGGCAATCTTAGAAGCACAGAAAGCTGGAGCTAGCAGGTGATGGAGGAAAGCCTTGTCTCTGCGGGGACTTTGCCTGGCAACCAGTCCATGTCTCGCATGGGACAGGCAGTCAGCAGGAGATCACCAAAGACACTGCACCCCAGAGACATTCTCCAGTCAGATGGCAAAGATCCCTACCAATGGACTGCCGTGGGACACTGAACTGGGCCAATGGTGTCCTGCCAGCAGGCAGGCCAGGGGCCAGGGCATAGAAACTGACTGCAGCACAAGGCCTGGGGCTGTGGAAATTGTGCTTTCTGGTTTGGGGGGGATTTCGTTTGGGGCTTTTTGAAGCTTGCTTTTTGAGTGGAGGCCTTTCTCTGAGAGTTGTGGTTTGGGAGCTTTTTGGAGACTTTTTGGCTTTGGGCTTTTTGAGTGTAGGGGCCTTTTGGGTCATGTGCCTCTTCCTTTGGCTCCAGCTTGCCCACTGGCTCACTACTCATTTGCCCTGGCCCCAGCCCGTGTTCTGGCCTTTTGCCCTGGCCCCACACTGCCTTTTGGCTCATTTGCTCTCATGTCTGTCCCGCTTCCCCGTGTCCCTGCCCAACGTCCTGGCTGCTTCGTCTCCCCTTGAGCCTGGCTGTGGCTGTGGCTGTGGCTGTGGCTGTGGCTGTGGCTCTGCCTCTTCCCCTGCCCTTGAGCCTGCCCCTGCCTCTGCCTCTCCCTCTGCCCCTGCCCCTGCCTCTCCCTCTGCCTCTCTTTCTCTCTCTCCCCTCTTGCTGACTCCTTTCCCATTCTCCTTCCTTCTTTCCTGTCTTTTCTAGCTCTTTGTTTTGGGCAACTACTTTGTCTTTTTGATTTCTTGTTCTCAGATACAATGCTTGCCTCGTTTGGCTTAATTTCATTCCTGGCCATTCGTTTTAAAAAGAACTCCTGCAGTTTTCCACAGTGAAATATGGCAATGGCGAACGCCAGCTTGCAGCAATGAGATGGGCAGTGGCACTGGGAGGTTGTTGCTTCAGCCCACATAGGATGGGGGATGTGAAGGGCTGTTCCAAAAGCTGTGCATCCCAAAGAGCTGCAAGGTGCACGTGGTGCATGGAGAATGCATCAGGACACCAGGAGAGGACCAACAGGGGTGGAACAGAATGCAACAAATCCAGCCTGGCTGGACAAGTACTGCTGTGTGAACTTGGCAATTATGGAAAATTGGTTTTTGAACACCTGTTCTTCTGAAGTGCACTCCGTTATACTGCAGGGTCAAGTGTAAGAATACCCACTCCACTCTGAAATACAACTGCCTTGAAGCATCCCTGCTTTGTGCTGCCAGCACAGACTGCAGGCTCCTTCCCAAAGGGGAGCTTGCTGACCAGGATGTATGCTGCTGGTGGATTTAATTCTGCCTCCCTCTGCCCATTGTCTATGAGCCCAATGACTATGATTTTATTTATCTGCAATTATTTACTGAATTGTGAAAAGTTCTGGGAGTTCTGCTTGTCAGGTTTAAAACTGAAATGTATGGTACTGGGATGCAGACCCATTGTCCTGTGCTTCCTGGAGGACTTCAACTCTCAAAATCAATATCAATGTTTATTATAAGGAGTGTATTGCTGTAGATAATTTAACATGGCCAGCAGCTCAGTGTTCAGGTAGCCTTTGGTTTAATCCTGCCAAAACCTAATGGGAGAGAAAAAAGGAAGAGTGGTAGTGAGGAAACTCAAGACTTGAGACAAAAACAGGTCAACCAAAGGATGGAGAAAAATAAAAACAAAGGCATCCATTCACCACCTCCCACAAATAGACTGATAGTGATAGCCAGTCCCTATTTGCTTTTGAAAATCTCCCTCCACGGTTTCTGTTGGTGAAGATGGCACTGTATTTTACAGATATCCTTTTGGTCAGTTGGTGTCAGCTCTCCAGTTGCCCCTCTGCCAGCTTTTTTCCCACCCAAGACATCTCTCTGACCCGTGATACTGTGCTAGTTTGCTCAATGAGAGCCAGTTTTTGGTGTGTTACCAACCCTGTTTCAGCCACAAATCAAGAGCATGGCACCATACTATGAAGTAGCACCGTACGGCTGCTATGAAGGTAATTAACTCCATCCCAGCTAAATGGGGTACACAGATCACCATTAGGAATTCAGGAATAGTAAATCATTAGGGATTCACAAAGTGTGAGGGTGACAGTCCTGGACACCTTCACTGTCATTCCTTTTTTGTCAATTCCATGGGTTTGTCGGGACTTTGAGGAACATGTCCCTGGGTCAGGGGCAGGGTGAGCTCTCCCAGCCTCCAGGGCCCAGTGCAGCCCTGTCTCACCTGGTGGTCAGCACTTACACGGGCAGGAGCTGAGGTCTTCCCATCTGTCCTACATTCTACAGGAGATTTTGGCTTGAACAAAAAGGCTGCTGGGGCAGAATCCACGTGCCTGGGAGCCTGTTTCCCTCAGCAGGCAGAGGACAGCCTGTCCCACAGGAGAATGGCTGGCCGTAGACCAGAGCCCTGCTCCGAAGCAGGGAAGGCCTCAGCCCAGCCACTGCGGCCTTCACACAGGAGAGATGCCCTCGGGTTCTTCTGAACAAAAAGGCTGCTGGGGCAGAATCCACACGCCTGGGAGCCTGTTTCCCTCAGCAGGCAGAGGACAGCCTGTCCCACAGGAGAACGGCTGGCCGTAGGCCAGAGCCCTGCTCCGAAGCAGGGAAGGCCTCAGCCCAGCCACTGCGGCCTTCACACAGGAGAGATGCCCTCGGGTTCTTCTGAACCGTGCCCGAGCCCGTGCCCAGCAAACCCGCCCATCCTGCACCGAGGCTTGGCTTGCATGGTGCCTCTGCTCCATGGGGAGAACAGTCAGCCCACAGGAACACCTGAAACCTGACACTCTTCACCAACACTCACCTCACGATTCCGGGGTGGCCTGGGCTCTGCCACAGCCTGGAGCGCCTCACTGGGCACAGGGCACACTGGCCTGCAGTCCATGACCAGGCCTCATGGATGCTTTTTCCTGAGGGCCTTCAGTCTCCCATTTCACATGCAACTACCTGGTGATTTCTCCCGAAAATGGCAGGACACAAGGTGAGGACGAGTAAAATCAGGCATTTTGAACTTAAAAAAATTACTTTTATTTTAGGAACCAATAAAATTATGGTAAATATTTACAAATAATTATCTCACATAAAGGTTACATAAAACCAAATGTCCACAAGTAACAGTCACTCTCATGAAAAGACACACAGATATTGAACTACGCCAATCTTATTGCATGTTTCTTCAACTAATCTAAAAATAAAAAGTGTTGCAGTCAACCATTTAACTTAGAATAAAATCACAAATTCCAGTATTGACAGGAAAAAGAATTAAAACAAAAAAAAAAAAAAAAAAGGAAGAAAAAAACCCTTTCAAATGGCCCCTCCTTTTTGA